AATACTGAGGTCCATTCTAAATGGTCAATTTTATTTCTAATTATAATTACCCTGATAATCCCAATCAAGGATATTTTTATTTTAATCTGCTTGGGTACAATAGTCTCAGACAATTTCAAAACATATTTTCATCTTGCTTTGGCTAATTAATTGAGGGGATACAGAAAATTTTCATTATGGGTGACCCATGCAATTAATTGAAAGTACTGCCTCACCTCAGAAATGCTTTTTTGGTTAGAAGCGTTTCTTTTTTTCTTTTTTTTTTTTTTTTGTCCAATAGATATATATATTTTTTTATTTCTTTTCAGCATAACAGTATTCATCTTTTTAGATGTTTAAATGTTTTCTTTTAATATAGCTTACAAAGTTATCATTAAGATAATAATTTGCACATTCTTTGGGATACTCTAAAGTTAGATTTTGTGTATTAGATCATTTTCTGGAAAACCCATAAATTACCTATGGTCTTTTAATTAACTGGTGGTCATTCTCCATGGGTCTGAGTAACACCATCTGATGCTATCAGGTCTGTGAAGGATCATGTTTGTTTTCAGAAAATGTTTCAGAGTGTCAATCATGTGATGAATTTCAATTATAATTTTGTCACTATTGCTAAACAGTTTTATCAATCCATTTATAACTTATGTGCCTCCCTTGTGGTCCAAAACAAGAATTTTCAATGGGCTTTCCATTTTTCTACATTTCGAATTGATTTATTGCAGTTGGGAGTAGCAATAGTCACATTTTGATTGAGACTAATACCGGCTTGTTTTATCTCAAGTAATTGAATTGCAGTGATTCCTCTCCTTTGTTTCTGTTGCCCTTATTTCTTCATCCCCAGGACTTTACCCTCTCTTTAGTCATTTATATTGGTAGTCACCATTTCATATACCTGACAATATGATTCCTAAGAATATAAAACTAACACTCTGGCCTCATGCCGTCACTCCAGAGGTGTCACCATCATTTTCTTTGCCTTTTGGGCGACTGACATACTCATGCCATTATGGAGAAATGATGTCATAACTTCAGGGACATAGACTTAAAAAAAGCTCTGTTAGCTTTTAGGAGTTCACCACAATTACTCAAAGCATTACTGTCACTGGGTAACCAGCCTTTCCCCTCCATGTGATAACCAAAGGATAAAACTCTCTCATAAGGCCCTATTCACACTGTCAGACTCAGCAAATTGATATGGACAAAACTCAATATCCTTACGATTGTTAGAAAGGGGCAGAAAGAACAAGGGAGAGATCTTGTTGGGGACTTAATTTATACAAGAGTTAAGAAAGAAAGTAGGCTGGAGAACAGCTATGCAAAACAATAATATGATGGTCCTTTCATTTTAGAGGACATACAGAAGCATCCTTTACAGACCTGCAATTACCTAACTGAAATCTTTTCTTGATTAGCAGTGAAAAAAAGGAAGTCTGTATTCAACATATTCAGCATACATCTAGCCATGATTCCAGTAAAACACTATTTCTGGAATTTCTTAGTGAATTAAGTAACCAGACATAGGATTTTAAAACTATTTAACCTCAAAAAGTGTTATTACTTTTATTGCGTAGATCTCTCTGTTTAAAATACTTTAGGGGTGACTGGGTGATTCAGTCAGTTACATGTCGAACTCTTGATCTAGGCTGAGGTCATGATCTCAGGGTCATGAGATCTAGCCTGGTGTGGGGCTCCTCACTCACTGGAGTCTGCTTGAGAGCCTCTCCCTCTGCCCTTCTCCCAACATGCGCATGTACACACACTCTATCTCTCAAATAAATAAAATAAATCTTTAAAATATGTTAAACTGTAATGGAGTACATCGTGGTAGTCAGTACTTTGGGAATAAATTACATGATTATATTACAAACATATGGCTGTTCAGTCTTCCAAATTAACACTGTTATGTGCAATTTCTAATATGTCCAGTGTATGTCCTCGGTATCAACATGTTCATTTTTGCTGGACAGTCTAAGGTCATGTTTGCTCTTCTGTAGTGAGAATGGTAAGAAATAAAAAAACTATTTCTGACCTGCATTTATTATAATTTTGTCTCAATTGGTATATTCTGTGCCCATATGGATCCAACTGCAGAAACAATTAAGATGTCGGGACTCCATGGAATTTCCCACTATCCGTTCAGTGATCAATTCTTAAATAATATAAAACTATGTTACTACATTATATTTCCTTTCATTATATTCACACTGACAGAAATAAGAATATTAGACTTTTATGTTATCAAAATACTAGTCCTTGTAAATTAAAATTGGCCAATTTCCAATAATTTAAATATTATATCATGGATCAAAAATAATCACACCCAAATTCGTTACAGTTATTTGTTTTCAGATATATCACTGATAAAATGTTGCTTTTGTTTGCAAGATAACTGTGCTTTTTTAAAAGTACTACAAAATTAATAGAAAAACCATAATACTTTGAGAAAGTAGCAAGACAATTAAAAATGCATTGATAGGAAACTAAATGGAACTTTCTTTACTTTTCTGTCTTAGACTGTACATTACTTTTTGAAGTTTTCTGGTATCTACAGTTGTGCATTGCCTCATAAATCCATTATAATTCAAAATGACCTTGCTTTAGCTTTCTTCAGAAAAATATTTCTTTTTCCTCCCATTAAAATGTTTTAAATCTTCTTGGGGGACCTAGATGGCTCAGTTGGTTAGTGTCTGACTCTTGTTTTGGACTCAGGTTATGATCTCATGGTCCTGGGATCAAGCCCTGTGTCAGGCTCCATGTTCAGCTGGGAGTCTGCTTGGGATTCTCTCTGTCCCTCTCCCTCTATCCGTCCCCACTCCCACCCCTGCATAATTTGTCTCTTTCTGTATTTCTTTCTCTCAAATAAATAAATCTTTAAAAAATAACAAAATAAAATGTTTTAAATTTTCTTCAGAATGTTTTGAATTTCATACTAGATCTTATGGTATTGAATTAAGTTTCCTGAGGTATTTTTTGCCTTTGTTAGTATATAAGTAATCCCTTTTTAACTGATATAGTCTAGGTACATACCTCTAATATTATTACCAACTCAGTATGTCCAATAGTGTGAGCAATAAAGTTCAAGAAACATTGCATTATGCCTTCAACAATATATTCTGAGAACTGATATTGGGAGGAAAATGGAACCACATGTTTTTTATTGTAATCCATGATTTGATCCTCTAAAGTAAGGGTTAGGAAACTGTAGCCTACAGACTGTGGAACAAATGCAGACTGATATCTGTTTTTGTAAATAAAGTTTTATTGGAAAACAGTAACATCTATCTGTTTACGTACCGTTTGTGGCTGCTTTTGTCCTACAACCATGGTGTTGAGTCATTGCAACAGAAACCATATAGCCCACAAATTTTGCAATATTTACTATCTGGTTCTCAACTGAAGAAAATTATTAATACCTACACAAAACATTGTTTTCCAGCATTTTCCATGTCCTGGTATACATTGAAAATAATTTTAAAACACATTGGGGTAAATGAATGAAAATGTTTGCAAGCAGAAACAAGGTAGGTTGTCCCAAGGGTAAAGAGGATCAATATCTCCATTAGTTATGAAAAATTCTCAATCATTATTTTTCCAAATATAGACTCACCTATAATCTGTCTCATCTTCATCCAGAACTCTAAAGAACATTGTTTTGTATTCTTCTGGTATCATAAACCCTCTTCCAGATCTTCTGCTTTTTTTTTCCCTCTTAGTTACAAAATTATTTTTTAACCTTCAGTTCAGTATTTCTCTCTTCATTTTTTCTAGCCTGTTATTTAATTATTTGTAAAGTTTTGATTTTAAGTTGTCAATTTTTCATCTCTAGAGTTTCTTTTATATAGTTTTTAAATCTATTAGATCACTTCTTGGAGTTTCCTAATTTTTGCAGGCATTTTCAAGCTTATGTTTTATTTATTTTAACTTAGTAAGCACAATTGTTTTATAATTTGTGGTTGATAATTCCTATATTTGAAATTTTTACAAGTCTGTTTTTGCTCCTTTTGTTTCTCTTAATTCTCACTTACAGTACCTTGTATCCTAGTTTACTAGGTTAGGTCATGCTTATTTTCCTTAATGTATTATTTGTGAGGATTTTTTGATGCCTGGGATAAAGGTATGTTCTTCCAAAGATAATTTGTTATTTGCTCTTCTGACCACTTGGTAATATTACCACCCCCACATCCCTTAAAATAAATTCAGTCTAGAGGTGACCTGGATTGAACATATATTTCAGCAATTCTACCAGTATTCAAATGTGAGGACTAACCTGAAAAAAAATAACTTATTGCTAAAAACAGGAAATCTAAATCAGTATCTTCTCACACCTGTAATTCCTGAACAGCTTACAATACCCATAGCATATCTGTTGAGAAGCATTGCCATACCATATTTTATGTCTATAACTTTGATAACCCTTATGTTTTCAGCCTTATGTTTTAGTAATTTGATATTCCTTTCTAGATTTAAATACCTTGGTAACTGAGAGTGTGTCACATTTATCTTTGTAAATTCTGCTGTGCTTGCCAATAAATTTACAAATAGATCTCTGTAAATTCATTAATTCAATCATTCTCAAGAATTCATTAATTCTTGAGAACCTGTTGTTCTTCTATTCAAGGTACCTGGCACATATATTAGTGAACAGACAAAAATACCTGACTTATGGAGCATACATGGAGGAGGAGTGCAGGGAGAGTCATAAGAACATAAACATAAAAGATAAATAAATTATATAGTGGGTTGAAAGGTAAAAATTTCATGTGAGGGCAGTTGATCAAGATAGAAGAATAGGGAATGCCATTTAATGCAACTGATTTATTTGTACTCCTTTGATTGACTTATCCCAGGTGCCACCATTCATTTATTCAACATTTACTTAACAGGTGCCCAAAATGTGCAAGGTGTCACTTCAGTATCCATCTCTGTTTTTTTTTTCATGTTTGATCAAGTGCTTTCCTATGCTACCTAACTAGCTTTTACATTTGGTAATAGAGTTCTCTTCCCATTCCAGTTAGCTTTCCTTAAGTGTTTGGCCATCCATATTCATCTATATTCTGTCTAATATCTAAATTGTCTGTTCCTCTGGCCCCACAGTAGTCATTATCCCACCTATCCAATTAGATTGTATAATGCCTAGAGAAATGTTAGACATGAACTATGAAAGTTAAATATTTTCTGAAACTGAAACAGCTAAAAATTCTAACCTAAAGATATTCATATCATATAAAAGGAAAATGTTTTTTAAGTAAAAAAAACATGTGTTTATTAAAAAATTAAAGAGGCAGTCTGTTCTTTAACATTAATTTTCTACATGCTCTTAGAATTCAGAAATTAAAATTCATTCACCTTATTCATAGATATTTCTAAATCCAAAATTTTACCAATGATATTTTGGTTTATAATTTTCTATAGATAATTATTTACCAGATAAATAATAATCTGGAAAGTCCACAGATTTTGGAGGAATAATATAGTACAATATTCTTCTTTATATTTCAATGAAAATACTGTAAGAAGTAAGAGCTTTCAATTTGTTATCAGGGTTGTCTGCTTATTTGAGGATATGAAACTGAAAATTAACTTCAACTTTTTAATCAGTAAGACAGAAAAAATGTGATAATAAAAGTAACTTCAACGTATCTAATCACTGAAAAATCTAAATTTCTTTAAAGTCAAAATGGTCATAATATTACCTATTGCATATGATGGTCATAAAGATCAACAGGAGAACAGCTCCAATAAACTTGGCAGTGACCAAAACATGGCAGATGTTTTAAAAAAACATCAGTAGGGGTGCCTGGGTGGCTCTGTCGGTTAAACAACCGACTCTTGATTTTGGCTCAGGGTGGTGAGATCAAGCCCCGAGTTGGGGGGGGGGGGGTCCATGCTCAGCAGGGAGTCTGCTAGAGATTCTCCCTCTCTCCTTCTCCTCTGCCCTTCCCCCCCCCAATAAATAAAGCTTAAAAAAAATAAAAAACACCAATCAATGTTGTGGAGCATGGGTGGGTTTTCTGGTTGATTGGTTGATTGGTTGATTAATGGGAGATTCTTTTTTTTTTTTTTTTTTTTTTTTTTAGGATTTATTTAAGTGAGTGTGTGCATGTGCATGCTCATGTGTGAGCTGGGGTAGGGACAAAGGGAGAGCATGAGAGAGAATCCTCAAGCAAACTTCTGGCTGACCAGGGAGCCCAACATGGTGCCGAATCCTAGGCCCCCAAGATCATGACTTAAGCCAAAATCAAAAGTCAGACTCTTAACCAACTGAGCCACAAAAGCACCCCTAGTAGTGGGAAATTCTAACAGGGAAAGATGGCTATTCATATTCCCTTGCCTGAATAATGGCCTCATGTATCTGGAAAAATAATTTCTTTTGTATCAAAAGGAGATTTTTAATACATATAAATAATAATTCTTTGTGGCAGTAAAGCATCATCATAGATTAGTTAGCAACGATTTTTTCCATTTAAACTCATTAAATAATGGTTCTTTGTATAGTCAGTGGTATCTTAAGATTTATTGATGTGCCAGTAGTATTATCCTGAATATCTGATAGTCTATTAACTTATTCTTATTGAAAATTTGGTGGAAAAGTAATTTTTTAAGGTGTCAAGTACCTTGAGTATGAAAAGGGAAAAAAAAGGCCAAAAGCTGCTGACCAAGTGTCTCCTAAGTGCCATAGAATGCCCTCATTGGGATTTATGCATGATAGAAACCTTGCCCCATGTAGCCCCTTTTCCCCTCCTCATCCTCATAAAGGCATTGAGGTTACCTTTCAAAGTATTTACTTAAACTAAATGTTTTAAAAATAAATAAAAGCAAAACTGGGAATTCATCCAACATAATTTATACTGTTCTTAGGGGCCTTGGGATGATTCCAAGAGATCTTTTTGACGGGATTTTTAAAATTATGTTGTTAAAATATTAATGGGTATAGTATTAATAGGAGCAACCTGGAACTGGCTGGTGAGGATGGGCCCTTGCTGAACCTCTCTTAATTTGCTAATGTCTGTGGTTCTATTTCAGAAAAGATCCAGGTTTGAATTACTGAAGATATGTATTAGATAATTTTAGAACTATAATTTTTCAATTCTTTCAGTGATTCAGGTTAAAAACTCCCCCTACTTATGTAAACTCTAAACAACAATCTGGAAGTTTTCCTTAATATTTATTTTTCTAATTCCTCCTCTTTTTTTTAATGCCTCAAAAATGCTCACTTGTACCATAGTTAATAACTATACATAGCTTTGGTGTTAGAGATATTCAACCATTAAGGAAAGGTAGTTAATGTTGTCCTTCCTCAGGCACGGTTAACCAAGCAATTCACCAGGCATTTGTAAATATCTATTAGACCCTACTAATATTCCCTTGCAAATTATTTAAAATATAGATTTGGATGAGCATTAGTAAGCTTGAGGTCAATGGCAAGAAAATTACTTCAAGCTCAGTAATAAAGATGTAAGTTATAGATTTAACTGTAGGGTCCACTGAGGAAAAGCAATAGAATAAAAATGGTTGTAGTATTAGTAATGATTCTGACTTAAAAAAATTAAGCCTACTCCTTAATAATTTTATTGGCTTGATATAATGGACATAAGTAATTATACTTGGGAGGTATAAATCAATTAATAACTATAACCACTATATCTTACAAATTATATTTGGAGTCAAATTGAGTTCTCATTGCAGACGACATTATTTTATGAAGATTGAAAACAATAGAAGTCATTTTAAAATATGTATAAATATGGTCTATAAAAAAGAAGTAAAGTTGGAAATCTGCACTAAAATAGATTAATATCTTCAATATAAAACTAAAACACTATATTGCCAATGCCTAAGTTACAAAAGATTGTCTAGCTGTTCTTTCTACTTCCTACCAGCAGCTCTTTTAGTGTGTACTGGTATTATGTGACTGCTTTTTAATGCTATTTGTAGAACTGGGCTTTGGCAAGAATTGGGCAAGTTTCATTGCCCTGAATTTTCACCAGCATCAATAGCTGATGGAAAGGAGGAGGAAGGAAGTGAGAGTAGCACTGAAGAAAATCTTCCAATAGGATGTATTTGAAATTCTCCTGAGCATCCCAGTGGCAGCTACCAGGAATGGCTGTGTGGATGCCTGTGTTCTTGAAATATACATCCAACTAAGTAGATTCTGAAATTTTATTAACCAGCAAGACCCATCCCCTAGTTCACTGTTCTGGTCTGCAAGGAATACTTTGCACACGGTCTGAGCTATTTTGTTAGAAACATAGTTGTAAAAATGTGCTGTGTCACTTCAGAATTCAGTCCAACAAAAGTACTACGTACCAAAGTTTACAACTACTCAGCTTCTTTTGGGAATTGGGCACATATATGGATCCTTTACATCTTATGACTTGAGCCTAGACTAAAATTAAAGCCAGAGAAATCAGGGGTGCCTGGGTGGCTGGGTGGGTTAAGCCTCTGCCTTCAGCTCAGGTCATGATTTTAGGGTTCTGGGATGGAGCCCCGCATCGGGCTCTCTGTTCAGGAGGGAGCCTGCTTCCCCCACTTTTTCTGCCTGCCTTTCTGCCTCTCTTTCTGCCTTTCTGATCTCTCTCTCCCTCTTTTTGTCAAATAAATAAATAAAATATTAAAAAAAAAAAAAAAAAGCCAGAGAAGAGGCCTAAACCACATCCATATCATCTCCCTAAAAGGGGAATCTCATTTATTTTCTTTAATTTTGGTCAACTTCAAGTCTCAGGACAAGATAGCTGAGATTTAGAGGGTAGAAAGTTTAACATCCCTGTCCTAAACTCATTGTCACCTGCCTCTCCTATGTTAGAAGCATGTGGAAGCATGGTTATCCAAACAGCATTGCATACTGAACCGATGCTGGAAATCAAAAGAAATTATGCAAAAGATAGAGATAGAGAAAACTGGAAAATAACTTAGAGACATAACTAGCCCATGCTGCAGGTAAAAGAAATATAAACCCCTTTGTTTGGAATGACCTCAGACCATCCATGAGTCTATGTCATAGATAAACAGCTATCCTTTGAGTAATTACCATAACTAAAAGACATTTATACCTCAGCTCAGTGTAGGCCCTGTGTTGATAGGTTTTTTAAGCCTGATCTGAGTACAGATCACAAGAAGCCAACATGTAGGATCCCCTTCAAAAAGTAAGTATAGGGAGATATATATTCTCCAGTTTCAGGCAAAACAATAGATTGTACTGGATGCCATTGGTTTCTTCAGGGAGGCTCTCCTCCTCCCTGTATTTCTGTGAATTCCCTTGTTGTCTGACTCCCTATCTATTTTTCCAGCACCTAACACAGTTCCTGGAGCAGTGTAGATATTTAATAAGTATTTACAGAATTAAAATTGAAAGAAGTGTTCCATTTTATAGTTAATTTGTATGGGTTATTTCCTTGTCTATAGAGATATGTTGCACAAAAATTGTAAGTTTTTATATATATATATTTATTTATATATACACACATTGTATACACACATATGTATATACATATATACACATAATTAATAAATTAATAAATAATAAATAAATTACTATTTTAGTGTTGATATGTCATTTAGTGCAATGCATACCATACAGCAAACTTATATGTTCCTGGAAGTTAAAATGTTCTTGTTCCTTTTTTTTTTTCCTTCAAGAGAGGAGTAAGTTCTTTTTGCCACAGAAAATATAAAATGATTCAGTGTTCATGGGAGGAATTCATAATTCAAGCTCTTATTTTCACACTGCCTTTCAAAACACCTACGCCACCCAGAATAATAATGTGCTAAGCTGCAGTGACTGCAAAGTATTTTAATAAAAGAAGGAAATTATTTTCATAATTACTGATAAATTCTCAATTTGTTCTACTAAAGGGTAAATCAACCACAGTTGGTGAAAGAAGTGATTTTTATATGTTGATATTAGAGGTTCAGAAAAGGAGGCTTATAATTGTCTTGAAATGGTAGGGAGTGATAATTTCATTTTAAGGAGATAAAGGGTTAATTAGTAGAAATTCTTTGAAGCAGTAAAGAGCAAGTATTATATTGTTTTCAGATACTGAAAATGCTCATTAAATTCGTTTACAGAGTTCTATTATTGAAAGTAGACAAGAGTATTTTTTTATTTAATAGTGTTGTAGGATGTCAGCAGGACAGGAATCATTTCAAACTGTAATTAAACTTGTCAAAAACTATTCACACAAGATATTTATTGAGACTTATTCTGGACATAGGCATAATCATTAACCTCATGAAGGTATACTATTTCAGTTTTTTTCCTGATATATGTCAATTAGATAGTCAATGATTACATATTCAATGGAATATTTGTTAAATGAGTGAAGTTTACATTGTTTCTTTTCCTGAGCTAGTCTCCCCCTTTGCAGTACACCCGGGAACATCAGGAACTCTTCCAGCCGAGCTGCTATTGTTAGGGCTAACTAAATTAGCGACTCACTGACACCTCCTTTATCCAGCGTTCTTGCAACGTGAGTGCTCCTGGTAAAGGAATTTGCCGTTAAGTGAAGAACCGTTTTCCAGCCCTGCTCACTTAATCTAAGTCTTTCTTGGCTGTCCTTCACCTCCTCCCATCTGCCTCATGGGTGTGGTCCAGGCTGAGACCTTCTGGCCGCCCTAGAGCATTCTCTCCCCGCCCGCGGACGGCGTCCCTCAACCTTGGCGCCACAGGATATTTAGCAGCGTCACTAGCCTCTGCCCATTGGATGTCCGCCGCACTACATTCCCTCTTTGCTGGAGCAAGCAGAAGTATCTCCAGATACCAGCGAGTGTCCCCAAGGATGGGCAAGGGCAAAATTCTTCTTGGGTTAGAACTACTAATATAGGGCAGCTTACCAAAAATGCAGATTTCTTTCTCCAATTCCAATGTACTCGATCTGGGGGCTGTGTAAGAACTGCATCTTTTAGCAGATTAAACTGCTGTGATGCGTTTCACACACAGTAAGTTTGAGAACCACTATTCAGGTGCCCTTAAAACTTTTCAGTTTCTAGGGGCGCCTGGGTGGTTCAGTGGGTTAAAGCCTCTGCCTTCAGCTCAGGACATGATCCCGGGGTCTTGGGATCGAGCCCCGCATTGGGCTCTCTGCTCGGTCGGGAGCCTGCTTCCCTTCCTCTCTCTCTGCCTGCCTCTCTGCCTACTTGTGATCTCTGTCTGTCAAATAAATAAATAAAAATCTTTGAAGAAAAAAAAAAAACTTTCCATTTTCTAGATTTCTGTTACCTAGGTGCAAAATCAAATAGCCAAACTGAGTCTGTCAAGTTAGTTTTACATATACTTTTAAACCCTTGTTAGAGCGCTCCTCCAGTTAAGTTCATGGACTATGAAATCATAAACATCTTCAGTACCTCTGGGTCCAAAGCTTTTTGGGGCCTATTAGGAAGCCTGAGTAGAGTGACAGTGGACTGTCATGTGAGGTTTTATACATACCAAAGTGATGGGTGATATCTCTGGACAGACCATTCTTTGGATAGAAGTACACTATGGCCATGTCTTCCATTACTTGTGAATTTCCTTAGACTAATCAGGTAAATAGCAACCTTGGTGGATAGGGCATAACACCCATTCATCCATTCACTGATTTGCTAAATTATTCAGTTATTTCTCTAATACATGCATGCATTCATTTATTCAAGAACTATTCATTGGGCACTTACCATGTGTCGAGCACTTGTCAAACACTGGAGGACACAACTAGTGACAAGATAGGGAACTTGCTGTCTCTAGGGGAAATGTGAGAGATGTAACCACAAAGTCAAATAAAGCCTGCTCAACCACTTGAAGATTAAGCCTGTGCTTTTTGTCAGCAAAGGGCTATCACTGAGCTAGCTGGAGAGGGGAGGTTAATTAGCAACTTATCTATGCAGCGAAAGACATAGTACCCTAATTGTCTGGAAAAGATAATTTAGTACTCAATATTTGCTCCGCTCACAATGAATATCATAGAGGAAATTAGCTCAACAGTATTATAAAACGTATTTCCTGTTTTCTTACTACTAGGGAGAGGAAATTTTCCTGAAATTTAATTAAGTTAACATAATAGTTTAATTCTAGACATAAAAGGATGTGAAAAAATAGCCTTCCATATCTCCCATTAATTTTAAATAAAAGAATCATCAAGTTAGGTTTAGAGTATTTTTGGACAAGATTGGAATACTTTGAAAAAGGTAACTTTTATGTATGATTAAGTTTCTGTCTGGAGCCAATTTCTCTTTAAGCAGCCTGTGGGCATGGCCTCCTCTCCTGGGCCCTGGATTCCTTTTGTCTAGCTTCTCCCAGGACTTCAGAGGTCTAGCAGTTATATCCTCTCCTCCCATGTCTTCATTTTTGCCCTCCCCACAGGCTTTTCTCCGTTGCTAACAAAGATCCTCAAGTCCCATTCGCCTTAAAAAAGAACTCCTATTTAAATTCTGCAGCCATCTTTATAGGCTGGAGTTTCAAGTCCTAGTCTATCTTTTTTCAAGATCATTGACTTACCTTAATGAACTTCAGAAACATCCAGCCCTTTATATTGGCTCCAGTGTTCATTCTGGAAAGAGATAGAATCATTAAAGCTGATCCCATATCTTACATGCTTATTGAATTGTTTATTTGAAGTACTGTTTCTTTTTTTCTTTTTTTTAAGATTTTATTTATTTATTTGCCAGAGAGAGAGAGGGAGAGAGAGCGAGCACAGGCAGACAGAATGGCAGGCAGAGGCAGAGGGAGAAGCAGGCTCCCTGCCGAGCAAGGAGCCCAATGTGGGACTCGATCCCAGGACGCTGGGATCATGACCTGAGCCGAAGGCAGCTGCTTAACCAACTGAGCCACCCAGGCATCCCTGAAGTACTGTTTCTAAGGAACTTTTCGTGAATTTACTTTTTTAGCCAACTAGATTATGAACTCCTTAGGGATAGAGTCTCAATTTTATTTACTTCTCTACCCGTCTCTAACCCCATCCCAAACTCATATCTGTCTTTGCACATGGTAAATGATCAAAAAAAGTCTTTGGAGTTTGATTTGTTGCTGATGCTTGCAACCAACATATATGAAATATGTTTGGTGTGCAAGTCACTATTCCAGGCACCGGAGAACCTACGAATTAATAAACACAGACCCTACTGTCAAGAAGTTACAATTAGGGATACCTGGGTGGCTTAGTCGGCTGAGCGTCTACCTTTGGCTTAGGTCATGATCTCAGGGTCCTGGACTGAGTCCCGCACTGGGCTCCCTGCTTAGCGGGGAGCATCCTTCTCCCTCTGCCTGCAGCAACCTTTCCTTGTGCTCTCTCTCTCCCTCCCTCTTTCTCTGACAAATAAATAAATGAAATCTTAAAAAAAAAAAAAAAGTAGTTACAATTAGTGGTGAAAACAGACAAGTGACTATGTGAGTATAGCTGCTAAGTGAAAGAATGCATATAAAGCAGAACCTGTCAGACTAGGGGCTCCAGAGAAGGTCCCTCAGAAGAGATGGTGTCTGGATTGATTCCCAAAGGTTTTTGGTTGTTAGACAGACGGGGGAGTGTTGGTGGGTGGTTGGGGAGCAGAGGGAGGAAGTTCCCTAAACAGAATTAGCAGCAAGTATGACAGTATGGAGGGGGTTAAAGTAACTACCTTGCTGAGAATGCTTGCAGCCTAAGCTTGGAGGAGGGACCTCCAAGAATGAAAGGTAGTCAGGGCCAGAGAGAGAAGAGCTGTGTTTGTCTTGCTACAGAGTTGGGGCTTCTTCTTAAAAGATATGGAGAGACGTGTACAAAGACGTGTACAAAGAAACATTTAGCATTTATTTTTTTTTTAAATGTCGATAGTAATGGAGACTGAAATGGAACCAGTGTGGTCATGACTGCGGGCCAGAGGCCTCTGCAGAGGCTCCTACAGGACTCCAGGCCAGACAGTAAAGAGTGTGGACAGTGGAAGTGGGATGAAGACGTGTAGACAGACCAGACAGCTGTCTGTGAGCAAAAACCAACAGAGTTTGGTGACCCACTGGCTGTAGGGCAGAGAGAGGGAGAAGAGTCGAGAATGACTCTTAGGTGGGCCAGGTGTGGGTCTATGCAACACCCTGTCTATGTGGCCTCTTTCTCTATTTTGGAAGGAAATTTTGATGACTCTCTCATGCTCTGACCTACTAATTGTTGAAATGATTAAAGATGGTATTCTTTTCAAAACTATTCACTTATTAGTGGTTATTTCTTACTAACAAAGTTGCTGGTGGTGATATTTCTTCAGTCAAACTACTTTCTGATTGAACACTAACAGTAGACTAATTAATATTTAGCCTTTGGATATATACATGCAAATTAAATGGGCACCCAGAAGAGGAAAGATTGATTTATTCGGCTGATACCAAAATCTGTATTTCATTCTGTGTTTGTAACTGTGGTTATCAGATGTTTGCTTTCATTACTCCATCAAAATATACTTCCTTTCTTATGTATCATTCAAATACTCGTGGTTGACTATCTGTATAGAATATAACATTAAAAATTTTTAAATGGATTGGTTTATATAAGATAAAAAGTCTAAATCTCTAGTCAGATATCCTGGCTATATTTGGATGTCTTCCCATTTGCTGAGAAATCACCAATACCTAGATCAATCCTATCTAAGGTGGATAACTTATTTAGAACATTTTAGGATTCAAGTATCAGCAGACTTTTAAGAGGGCTTAAAATAATGCAGATCACAAGCTATCTCTGACTTACGCAACGTGAAGAAAACTAATGCTATGGACTTATTAGATGGCATCAGGGTGGCCTTTATGCTTTAGGACTTTGTAAGGCGCTGGCAGGCTTCATTAATTCCCTCCCTCTTGGGCGTGATTCCTTTGTTCTAAATAGTTCAAGTCAGAATTATAAACCCAGTGTTTTTGAATGGCTTGTGATTTTCTGTAGGTTCCTTCTCACATGTGACACCTACTATGTCAGCAGGCTGTTCTAACATTCAAGAAGAATCTGGATTAAAAGACAAGAATAAATAGAAGAGCGGTAGAGTTACTGAATCAATTTTGCAAGTCCTAATTGTAATAATGCAAAAACTTGATCATGGAAGGCTTTCAGCAGAGAAGAGTTAAGGATTTGGGGAAAGATCATCTACAGGTAGACAGGACCTCAGAGGCATGGTTGACAGCAGCTTATCCACTGAGGAGGGATAGTCAATTACTTCAAAGGTATAACCAACATAGTGAAAATAATGATAAATAGGGTAGTAAGACAAGGAACACTGGTTAGTGAAAAATCTTAAAGTCCAGGCTAAGAAAATTGGGTTTAGCAATAAGATTTTTCAGTTTGCCTAGATGTTTTAATAATTTGTCTGTCTAGAACAAAGTGCCGTGCTTTGGGATTTTTCTTCCTTCCTCCCTTCCTTCCTTCTCTTCCTTCCTTCCCTCCCTCCTTTCTTCCTTCCTTCCTTTCTCTCTCTCTTTCTTTCTTTCTTTGTTCCTTTCTTTTTACTTTTTAGTCCATGAGTTCTGGGTATATGAAAGACATTTATTTAACTGACACAGCAATCACAAAGTGGTTTCCAGAACTAGGCAAATAGAGATGCCTATTGCAATTTATTGCTTCAATATCATAGGATAGTATCACACACACACACACACACTCACACACGCACAGGTGCTTCTTTGTACCATTACACTGCATATTGTTTTTTTCTTTATACATGTTCTATATCACATTAGTTTTTATTACTTCTTTGTTAAGATGGCATATACACAGGGCAGATATAAATAACGAACAGTAATCTCATATAAAGATCAGGGCATCTAGAACACCTTTAAAGACAATTAAAATCAGCACCTTATTCATTCTTCTGTCGCAGATTTTTCTGTGACTCACAATGCATTTTTTAGTAGAGCTTTCCATTTCTTTCTGGAAATTTTTAAAGACTCCAGTTGAAGTGTTTCCAATATGAGAAAGTCCAGAAGCCCCTTTAGGTTATAATTGAATATTTTAGGTTTCCTAATTTTTCACTACAAACTGTTAATAGGCAAAAGTTTAAAATTTAATTTACCATTTTTATGTGATAGTGCCCTGAATCAGGATGTAAAACCAACCCACATCTCAAAGTTTTGAGAGCTTGCTTTAATCGGAAACAACTGTATTCTGTTCAAGAAAGAGGATTTCTTACCTTTCCTTGTTTATTACCTATTAAATTCACCAGTTATTATATGTGTCTATTATGCACATCCAGATTTTCCTTGAAAGTAAGAGAAACATTAGCAATTATGTTAACTATTTGATGCCACTAGACTACTTACAATTTTTTAAAACTATGACTATTAGCTCTCCTGTTGCCTTATTTTTAAAAAGTACTTAGGTTCTTAGCTTTTTAAACTTAAAATGTGGTATTTTCCTAAGCCCAAGCCATATAATTTTGCTTATAGTTTGTGTTTACCTTTCTTCTTTACAAAAATCTTAGCTCAGATCATTTCTACTCATGACCCTGCTCTCATAGCTGTTATCCAGTTTTAGAAATCATTGGTGCATCCTGCTCGAATACACTAAATCTCAACTTCAACTTTCTGACCTCCATAAGTGCCTTATTTAATCTCAGGGACCAGTTCGGGCACCCAAAGGTTTTGCTCTCCCGTGTTTTAACCACGCTACATAGTACATTTCAAATGAAATGTTTAGTGAACCTCAAGGTCTCTCAGGAGTCCAAGTGGAATTTGGATGGAATCTGAAAGAAAGTGAAATCACATTCTCTCTGTGAGTTAGCTATTTGAACTCTTGCTGTATATAAATACTAGAAGCTGACCCAGGTGTCCTATGGTGTTAGAATAAAAGAGGACACTGAGAAAGTGATTTCACTTTAAAAGCTGTAATTGGCAATGAGAGTTAAATATCACATTCTGTTTCAATTTATCTTTGGGGATGTTTAATAATTTTTAAAGATAGGTCATGTTGATGCCACTTACTACATTATGAGATTAGAATATCTGGGATTCAGCTTAAACTATACACGATGATCAGCTTAATAAGAATAATACAAATCAATCTATGGATTAAACATTCCAAATGAATGTTTTAAACCAGATGACTCACTTAAAGAAAGTACTTTTCAAAAATAATTACTAGATCATAGGATGAATTAATCTTTTGCTTAAAGCACATTGTATTTTTTGTGATCTCTGAAATTATTAAATGAGAACATTTCCTGCATAGTTAAATGTATACCTAACCAATCATGTCTGTAGGCTTAAGACAACTTGCCTCAATAGATACTTTTCTCTACACTAGCAAAAGGAATTCCAAGTTCCAAAGCCATCTCTAATATCACCACATGCTTTACTTAAGGCTGCATGTTGGAACCATTTCAGTACAAAATGATGATTTTGTATGTGTATATATGTGTGTGTGTGTATGTGTGTATATGTATGTACACACACATACTGTAGGCTGCTGCAGATGTTAGAAAAATCTAGATATACCAAGCACTTTGGAAGTGTTTCCTAAAATTATTTTAATATACAAGTATATTCACCATAGTTAAAAAATTATAGTCTTTCCTCAAAGACCCTAGAAAACAGATGAAAAACTTTAATTTCAGCATTTATGGGATTTTTAAAAAAATTGTATTAATTTTTTAAGAGAGAGAGAGAGTGAGTGAGAGAAAACACAAGCAGGGGAGGGGCAGAGGGAAGATGGAGATGGAGAAGCAGACTCCCCTTTGAGCAGGAAGCCCAACTCAGGGCTCCATCCCAGAGCCCTGGGATCATGACCTGAGCCTAAGGCAGATGCTTAAAGGACTGAGCCACCCAGGTGCCCCAAGAGAGAGAATCTTCTGCAGGCTCCACACTCAGCATGGAGCCCAATGTGGAGCTCCATCTCGCAACCCTGAGATCGTGGCCTGAGCCAAACTCAAAAGTCAGTTGCTTAACCGACTGAGCCACCCAGTTATGAGTTATTTTAAATGCGACAGTTGTAGGAATCCATATAAAAAGAAAAAGTAAAAATATAATTATGTTAGCATTAAAACCAGATATTCAATGGCTTCATTTATATATTTGAATTTAGATTATTTGTGTAAAATAGGTTATTTTCTTGAATTACCCATTGAATGACTTCTGACTTGAATAAACTACCCCAACTTTATCAGTTGTTTTCCAGTCCTTTATCTTACTTCACACACACACACACACACACACACACACACACACAGACACGTACTCATGTAAAACTTTCAAGTAGGAGCGCAGCCTCCTGAGTTTTACTACTTTGAGTAACAGCATAACAGCTGAAACCAACCACCTAGTGCAAGTATTATTAACTTGGGACTCTATAAGGACAACAAAAGAATTTTTTGAGAATGAATGATTCCACAGTAGAAAATATACACTCACAATTACTCTGTATTAACTTGGGATGTTATGGGCTACCAACAAATGGCTTTCAACTTCTTACTTTACTAGAAAAAAAAAGTCCAAATAAAATGGCACATTATTACCATAAGGACATTATAGAAAGGACACCTTTCACATAAAATGGTAACTTTTAAAAATGTAATTAAAAATTATAAAGAACATTTTCATATGATGAAAGTCACTATGTTGTCTTTATTTTTTCTTATTTTATCTCATTTCAGTGAAAACATCATCAATGCCAATGGTCTCTCTGAGAACTGTGGTTTGGGAATCTTTTAAGTAATTGAAATGTCTACATAAAAATAGGGTGTGTGAAATTTTGATAACATCAGGTTCCTTCCAGTGGTTCACAAGTGGGGGTAACTTTGCATCTCAGAGGACATGGGCAATTTCTGGAGACATTTTTGGTTGTCATGACAGGGCTGTGTGTACCACTGGCATCTGGTAGGTAGAAGACAGGAATACTACTACAATCTACGATTCACAGGACAGTCCCCCACAGCAAGAACTATCCAGTCTAAAGTGTCAATAGTGACGAGGTTGTGAACCTCTCTTAAAATATAACTTAAGGAACGAGTGAAACCATATGGTTAAATTGCCTAAGAGGGTAACAGCTTGTATTCCGATTGAGCCTAACTGTCTCTGCTTTCAGAGTCTACTAAGACTTACATCTAGTGCTGATTTCCTTCTGTATGGCAAATGTGTTATAAGGACTCCTACCGTGTTATTTATTATTAGCGGAAAGTCCCTCTTTTTTGCTTATGAATTAGTGCAGAGTTCCTTTTAAGTAAACCTTTCATTTCTAGTATGCTAGGGAGGCTTTGCTTCTTTTCAATATGTTTCAAAAAAGGATGGTCTTCCTATGCTGTACTTGCTACTTCTAAGTCTTTATTCATTAACACTCCCCCAAACAAATAACTTCCACATGTGTTTGTGTTTACCAAATGGGTGTTTGAGGTAAAAACGCATTGCCTTCATTCCCAAGAGGTGGAAATGTGGTCTGGGTCACCAGTACAATGTCATTCCAGACATGGGTGAGACGGTCCCAAAGCTAATTCTGCTTAGCCTTTCCTGGCCCAGTAGCACATAAGCTGAACTAAGCAAATCAGGCTTAATCACATCATTCATAAGGATTTACATGGGAAAAATGCAATATTTTTCAGTCTTTTGTTTCCTTATATAAATGTTTGTGGCTTTTGCATAAATATCCACAAGGTAGGAAACAGTGGAATAATTCCAAATGCAGAAAATACTCTTTAAAGCCACATTTGTAAACCTTATTATTAGATTCAGACATAGAGGTCATTTACATAAGAGCAAGTTAAGTCATCGTGTTTCCCATGAGAAACATCTCCTACTGGTCTCCCTCCAGATATTATTTTAACTTTTCTTAGAGATACCCATTTGCATAGGAGTATGTATAAATGTGTTTGCCTCTGTTGGGGTGCAGAGTCCCCTCTAAATCATTCTGCGTACATCAATAATTTTTAAATCTATCTCATATATTAACTTTTTCTTTTAATCTTCCTTACTTTTTGGTTTTGATGGCTTTCATCCTTCCCATTCTGTGAAACACACATATTATTCATTATTCACCTGGAGGGTTGTAGCTGGGTGCAAAATAACCAAAAAAATAAAAACAAACAAACAAAAATTGTTCCAATACATAAATGTTCGCTGAGACTATAGTGTCTTCAAAATAACACCCCAAAAGTTATTGATGCACAGAAGCACGGATAACCTTCAACAAACACTGGGTATTTTATGCTTCTGTTTATTCTGTTGTACAACTGAGAGGTACATCCAATTTAGAGTAGTGTATATCAGGTTTTTTACACTCAAAGCAATAACCAGGGAGACAATGGTATTCACAGCTATGAATATCCACATCTAGCATAAAAGATAAAAAATGCATGCTTCTCTAGACTATTTTTTTTTTCTGTGACTTTGATGCCTAAGAAAAGTTGCTTTTGTTTTTTAAGAGGGATAGAAAGAAAGAAAGACAAAATCTAAATTCTCCCATTTTTCAATTAGTAACCAGAAAGTGTTACTCAAAACAGTTGACTTTCTCCTGTATTAAATGCGTTGAACCTGTATGAGCAAATGAACCTGTATGAGCCAATGAGAATATAAGCAGACCTATCATGCATCACACACTGGCTTCTAATTTCAAATAAGATCAGGCCCTGATACTATTCTAGTTGCTTCTTAAGAACTTTCTTAAGAATCTTTTGAACTTCTTCAAAAGATACCTTAAGGGGCGCCTGGGAGGCTCAGTGGGTTAAAGCCTCTGCCTTCGGTTTGGGTCATGATCCCAGGGTGCTGGGATTGAGCCCCGTATCAGGCTCTTTGCTCAGTAAGGAGCCTGCTTCCCCCTCTCTCTCTGCCTGGCTCTCTGCCTACTTGTGCTCTCTGTCTGTCAAATAAATAAATAAAATCTTAAAAAAAAAAAAAAAAAAGAATCTGCATTTTTAAAACAAGTAAGTACAAAATTTGCATAGTTAGTCAGTTTGAAGCCTTCACATTGGAATAATTTGGATTTGCTATAGTGAACTACCTAAAGTGGTACCAAATAACAGAGTAACACTTTTCCTGAAATTTTTATTGAGGGTTAAATAAGTCAGTATGGTGAATGTCTTAGGGTAAGGCTGCAACGATATTTCAAATATGTGTGTTTTTGTACACTTTAAATGTACATATGAAACTCCTTTCGAGAAACACCAACTTGTTTCTACAACGTGTTTTAGCTTTCAAGAAGCAGCCATCCTAATGCATGGCGTTAGAGTTGTCCGGCCTTGTGATTGAGGCCACGGTCCCTGGGCTAACAGAAAGCCGAAGCATTCATGTCACCATGCATATAAGGTGATGTTAAAGCGTGGATGAGTGAACAGTGGGGCCACAAAGGCACACTGGGGAAACCCAAATGGAAAATGGAGCTTCAGTGATTTTTCAATTCAAGTAATTTTCAATTACTTGGTAGGAAAGAGTCTACCTGGTGCCACATCTGATTTATGGAATAGATTGGACCCGTAATGAGAGTCCAGATATAAGTGACCTCTTTCAAAGGAAGTCATAACCTTTTTTTTTATATACTTCATGGGTGGGCTCATGAATAAATTATCACCAAAGTTTTTCATTTTATTCTGGAGCTCATTCTTATATTGAGATTGATTCAAACATGTCCATGCGAATAGACAACCAGAGAATCCAAAGTAGAATTCATTTCATTCTTTTGCTGTTCTTTTCCTACTGAATTTTTTTTGTTAAAGAGGAAAAAGAAAGCATTGTGTTATATTGTGTATTTGTTCTCATGACAACAGTACCAACAGGAAAAATATGCTTTGAATGAATTCATTTCCATGGTAATTCTCAAAATGAAAATTTCGCAGTGCTCAGATGTTGTCCTCAAAAAGATAACAAAGAAGCTGCTGACCTCTGTAGGGAAGATGGCATAACCCATGTTGGGCCACGTACATATGAAATTCAGCTATAGTGAACTTTAGAGAGTCCAAATGTTTCTGGTATACTGAAATTCTGTTTCATTCAGCTGAAAGAAATGGGTTGTAACTATGAAATTGTTATAGTATTTGCCGAAATGAAATGTAGACCATGCCAGTGTATCAAGAGAAGCTAATTTTTGTTAAGCAGAGTAGGTACTGAAAAACTATTTTATGTAGCTCCACTTAGATGACTACATTAAACAAGTTGTTTTTCTAGATTTAATTATAAACATTATAAGTAGTGTGCCAATTGTCCTAACCTTCTGTCCCCATAACTATATTTTCTTAATCTGTAGGTTAAGGGGGCGGGGGGACAAAGTCTCATTTGTCAATGAGCTTTTGGATATTTATTAATTATGACAAATTAATGGCTTTTATCCAATTTTTAAAAATCTGTGATCATGGGGCACCTGGGTGGCTCAGTGGGTTAAGCCTCTGCCTTCAGCTCAGGTCATGATCTCAGGGTCCTAGGATCAAGCCCTGCATCGGGCTCTCTGCTCAGCAGGGAGCTTGCTTCCCCTCCTCTCTCTGCCTGCTTCTCTGCCTCCTTGTGATATCTGTCTCTCTAATAAATAAATAAAATCTTAAAAAAAAAAATCTTTGATCCCCTCTTAAAATAGCCTGAAGGTTTTAAACCATCTTTCCTATATGTGCCATCCTTAGTTTCATCCCGTAGCGAAACGGGTAAGTAGTGAGGAAGGGTGATTGCGTGGCTCCTTTTTCATCTGCATTCAGAAAAGCTCTCTTTGTCATCTAGATATCAAGCGAATTTGTGCAGAATATTTTTATAATTATAAAGTGGCATACATTAAGGCAGAAGCATTTGTGTTAAGAATTATCAGGTGGTGACAGTGGGGGAATTTATAAGCAAACTAATTAACAATCTCAAGGCTTTCATGGACACTGGCATTAATATTTAAATTATACATGAATATGCCAGGCACTGAATAATAATATGTTATGAAGTTGGAATTTTTTGTTTGTATCCTAGATTCCCTGAAACATCATATTTTAATTTGTTAAAGGTCCAGGACAGAGCATAATTCTGCTAGGAGTTAAATTTTAGTTTGGGATTTTTTTTTTGTTTGCTTTATTAGATTTCTTGCAGCCTTTTGATAAAAAAAAGTATAAACATAATAAAATTATTATGTGAAGAATGTTCTGCCCTTTTCTTTAATATGATAAAGAAAGCATGGGGAAAACCCTAACCAACCACATTTGTGGTAAAGAACCAAAGAATAACACTGAAAACATAGTATTTGTTTCAGTAAAAGACCTAGTTGCTTGATAATCTAATATTTCATTGTTTTATTTTTCCATTTTTCTGGTAATTCACTTTTGTGGAAATTTCCAGGAATAATTTGTATTTAAACAAGTCATTTGTGGCCTGCCTCAAAGACATTTGAATAAATATGTACATTCTCTTTTACTACTTCATTACCTATTAATTTCTTCTAAAAGATATTTTTTCTTTTGGAATATCTTCTTATTGGGAGACTCCAAATCATAATCAGCATATAATTTTTTATGGTTCTCATAACACTTGGAAAATGAATTTGTTCTAGCATTGTGGTTCATATCAAATGACTTGAGAATGGAGCCTCAGATAACTGAAGTAGAAAGTTAGTCAATATGAATGGGTATAATAAGTGATATAGGAATTGTTACATGGTGGATGTAGTCTGTGTACCACCAACTCTGGATTGCAAGAAATGTCTCATCATTTATTTTTCTCAAAATTAAGTGTAACCTGACTCCAGCCCCCTAGCCTACTGAGTCCCCTGGAAAATCAGTCAACTGTTATTATACTACTCTTTTCTTTCTCCTAGACTGTCCTTCTGTTTATCCCAGTCCCTAAGGGTCTCAGGGATCTACTGAGGACATCTGGGGACTTCTGCTGATCTTGACTTCACTTTGGCTACCATAAATGAGTAGCAGTTTCTCTACTACTTCTTTTGCCCTCTGGGCATGGACATCCTTCCCAGTGGTTGATCTGGGCACTGAAGTACCGCACAGCTCTTCCCTTAACTTCCTGCCCCCTTCTAGCAGTGCTGTGAGTGAGCCCTCCTCATAACTATGAAGCCTTCTACCTCCTTATTCATGAGTAATCTCTCTTACTCTTTGGTCCAGACTCAGAGTTCATCACTTTCTCTTAACCCTACTCTCATTCCTGGCCTCATTCTGTTAGATCTCCTATTCCTTCTCTGTGAGTTTAGACTTGTATAAAAGAAAAATGATTTAATATTCAAAACAACCCTTATGGTGGAGATCTCTTATGGATGAGAAGACTGAGAACAGGAGGACAAGACAAGTTGAGTAAGGTTCCCAAGGTCACCCAGCTAGTTAGTGGCAGAACCGAGATTTGGACACAGTCTAGCACGAGGGAGATCTGGTGAGACCTCACTGAATGGAGAAAGAAGAAACACAAGAACAAGAAACAAATCAACATCTCAGCAAATTATTGTTATATCAGGATTCCTCAAGCTCAAAACCACTGACATTTTAGGTTAGATAATTCTTTTTTGTGCAAGGCTTTTCTGTGGCACTATAAGATGTTTATCAGCATCGCTGGGCTATACCCACTAAAAGCCAGTAACACCTTAATTATGACAATAAAAACTATCTCAAGTCATTGCCAAATATTCCCTGGGAGGCAAAATCACCCCCAATTGAGAACCACTGCTCTCTCTATATGTGCACATACAATTAACTGTGAAATCAATATGTACTTTTATTTGTTGTATAAGGGTCAGTTTAGTATAATGTTCTTTTAATCTCTTATTGCAAGCCTATCATGGTAAGGTATTGTTAGGGTAAAAACAGGTCAACTGGGATACTGAATTGGCATCTTCTAACAGATCTGCGTGTCCCATAGCACAGCTGCTAAATAATCTAAGGTTGGCTTCACCATTCATCAGCTTCCTAACATGCACTTGTTTTCCTGGCAACATTGCAGATTAGTTTGCAGAAAATTATGTACCTCATTTCCTTTTTTCTTTTCTTGACTACACAGTTGATTTTTCCCTAGTTGCCGAATATACTATGAAATCAGTTAATAAATACAGAATGAAGTGATCTTCATCTAGAAAGCATGGAAATAGTCATATTTTTAAAAAGAAACACAGATTACCATGATCACAATAAGAATTAGACTTTCCCA